GGGAGTGCAAGGAAGCCCCACGAAGGCCCTCCCTGGCCCCAGGCAGGCAGGGGTGGGGAGAGGCAGGGAGGAAGCAACTTACCCTCCCTCTTCTCCTGCCTCCTCCTGGCTGAATGAGGGCCGGAAGCGGGGTGGCCAGAAGCAGGGGGTGGGGCTTTGTCATGTGCCCCGCCCCCCGTACCTCACCCGGGGGAACTGCGATCCCCCGCGTTCCCCCCCGCAATGACCTCTGGTGATCACTATGACAAATCTCATTTAGAGTATAACAGGGCCATGATTATTCAGAGATCGTGGCTGAACAGACATTCTAGTAAGACACAGGGATGGGGGGGGGACCTGACCCCAAAACTGGAATCAAGAACCAAAAGGTTGAGAATAAAGTCTAATGAAGGGCCAATATTAAAAACCTAGTTAAAACTTATAATATACAAAAATACAAGTAGTTATTAGAAAGACAGTTAAAAACATACATAAGGGCCCAATGAAAGCCTCATTAAAAAGTGGCTGAACAGACATTCTAACCTGGGTCTCCATTATTACATCCAACACTCTAGCTCAGTGATGGCGAACCTTTTAGAGACCGAGTGCCCAAACTGTGACCCAAAACCCACTTATTTATTGCAAAGTGCCAACACTGCAATTTAACCTGAATACTGAGGTTTTACTTTAGAAAAAACAACTCATACATTAACTTAAGATGATCCAAACAAAGTGAGGAAAGCAATCCCAAATGCTTTCATTTACTTAAAATTATTTGGCAGAGAATTCGACACTTTAATGATGGTCTGGGCCTGGCTGGGGTGATGGCACGCGTGCCCACAGAGAGGGCTCTGAGTGCCACCTCTGGCACCCGTGCCACAGGTTCGCCACCACTGCTCTAGCTACTAGCCGACACTACCTCTCAAGCTGGTGCAGAAACATTCCCTGAAGGGTGGATGTTTGCAAAACACTAGTGTAAATCTTCAGCACCTTTATGTAAAGGAATAGCTTAATGATGTTTGCTGACAACATAGTTTCATCATAAGGGCCCAATGAAAGCCTCATTAAAAAGTGGCTGAACAGACATTCTAACCTGGGTCTCCATTATTACATCCAACACTCTAGCTACTAGCCCACACTACCTCTCAAGCTTGTGCAGAAACATTCCCTGAAGGGTGGGTGTTTGCAAAACACTGGTGTAGATCTTCAGCACCTTTATGTAAAGGAATAGCTTAATGATGTTTGCTGACAACATAGTTTCATCATATGTATTAAGACTTTGAGAAAAATAAATGTGCATGGGTTGAGGGGGGAGAAATGCTTCATAATTTGCCTATGATAATTAATTTGACTTTATGACAATTGAACATTATATTATCCCTGCTCTTAGTTTGTGGTAGTTCCACATTTGTGAGGGGTGCGGTGAGGGGGGTCAGATGCTTGTAAATGGTTGTGAGAATATGTATCTTGTTCCTTGCCATACCCTCTACCCCACTCAGAAGCTTTCTTCTGTATCTTAATGGCCTTCTTTATTTCCAAACAATACAGTTCCAGAGCTCTCCTTATTTTGCAAACATTGTAACCTTATCACAGACACATGAATAATCCTGAATATATCACATTGTAGTTTAGCAGCTGGCAAGCTTAGGTGTTGTGATTTCTTGGGGAATGTAAAATGAAATCTGCAAATTTTGAACTAACTTTGATTCCCCCCCACCCTTCACCTGATGTCTGTGGCCAGAGAGTATCCAGATTTGAGAACAGATTTGGGAAGAGGATTTCTGCAAGCTTCAACATGGGGTGAGAATATGTATCTTGTTCCTTGCCATACCCTCTACCCCACTCAGAAGCTTTCTTCTGTATCTTAATGGCCTTCTTTATTTCCAAACAATACAGTTCCAGAGCTCTCCTTATTTTGTAAACATTGGTCCTGTAACCTTATCACAGACAAATGAATAATCCTGAATATATCACATTGCAGTTTAGCAGCTGGCAAGCTTAGATTTTGTGATTTCTTGGGGAAAATGTAAAATGGAATCTGCAAATTTTGAACTAACTGATTCCGCCCCCGCCCCCTTCACCTAATGTCTGTGGCCAGAGAGTATCCAGATTTGAGAACAGATTTGTGAAGAGGATTTCTGCAAGCTTCAACATGGGGTGAGGTGCAGAGTGGAGACCCTGCCACTGTCTGAAAGTCTAAAATTATTATTTGGTTTTGAAAAT